ATATTTAAAGAATTTGCCACTGATGATTCAAACGCGAGTTTTGGGCAGTGTAGAGTAGGGCTTGTTGTTTGTCATTTCTCCGATCACAAATGCAGACATGGCTTTGTGTTTACGCGGCGCGATGCAACACGTAAAAAGACAGTGCAAGTTATTATAATCTATAATTATGTCCCCACTGGATGCAACGAATGCCTCGTTTATAATGGGTTTTCATGTTTTTTAATCATCGCTCCGGCCTGACAGGGCATCATCACAGTATGGTATGGGCGTAACATTTCCGTCACACGCTTGAGGTATTCGGCCAATCATAAGGCACTGGATAGCTGGCCAATCACACAGAAAGGCGGGGCATAGAGGAGAAACAATAATGTACAGTATGTGGAAAATAATGTGTTTTTTTAACCTTAAACCGCATAAACATTTCATTACACCAAATAATGTTATTTTTAGCAACATCATATGACCCCTTTAACTGACAGCGCCAGCGCGCTCCGCTCTCGCTCAGAGAAAGCGAGCAGGCCCGTAACCAGCTATGAGGCCACCAAGGGCCGGACCTCTGTAAATTTTTCATGTTCAAAAATAAAATTTGTTCTTTGAATGACTAATTTGCTGTTAAACTCCTCATATGAATGCCCGCATGACATGTATAATTCAGTTTAGACAGTTTGCAAGAATGTTTAGAGTCCCTGGTATGAAAATGATCGCTGCGAGACGCTGGTGGAGTGAACGAGGCTTGAGAGAGTTGTGAGTGAGGGCACGGGCGCAGCTTCCAGATCCAGGTATTATGAGCATTTTTGGACTTGTCTTTTCCACTTAATTTAACACTTTAGAAAGTTAATAAAGTATTAAATTGCAGTTTAGAGTTAGCAATATATTTATATCTTATCTTATTTGCAAAAGATTGGAAATAATTTCGGTTTATTTTTATTCACTTTTAGTTTTTCGTTTTTTTGTTTGTTTTAGTATCAATATCTGGCAACACTGCATCGCCGGCACTTAAACTGAAAGCAATCAAAAAAGCCCATGGACAGATTTTTGCAGACAGGATACGACATTCGGTAAGGGAAATGCAAAAATTATGATATTATCCGTCATAAACGTTATCAACGCTGTCAAAAACAGTAGCATTTAACATTTGTCTCTCATAGTTGAGGTATACCTATGATGAAAATTACAGGCCTCTCTCATCTTTTTAAGTGGGAGAACTTGCACAATTGGTGGCTGACTAAATACTTTTTTTCCCCACTGTATATGTAGAACACGTCAGTTACAGAATGAAATGAAATGAAATACGCAAAAACTAGCCATGAAGAAGTCTATGCCATGTCATTCAGTATGGTTACATTTTCACAAATCATGCTATACACTTTCAAAAGAGCACTAGACAAAGTTATTGTAATTATGTATTGTTGCAATAAACAACTAATAAAATTATCCATCCTTAAATATAGTAAAGTATTAACAAATTGATGCAATAAATAGGGTATGAGTTCAAAATAATCATCCCTCTAAAACAGAGAAAACATCTTTCACAAACATCTACATGTCTGTCACCTTTAAAGTATTTATAGTGTATATAATGAGTTGTATTTGTAGGGGTTATTATAACACAATTCTGTAACACCAACCCAAATGTTGGTATAATGAGTTAAATGTTTTTGAATCCATCCAGAAAAGATAATGCAAAAGGAAGATGTGTTGTCTTGACATTATTTCACAGTACCCAGATCACCTTAATTTAAGGCCTGTTCACACCAATATGTTTGGCACTATATTGAGTGCAATTTTCACTTAAAGGGGTCATATGATGCTGCTAAAAAGAACATTATTTTGTGTATTTGGTGTAATGAAATGTGCTTATGCGGTTTAAAGTAAAAAAAACAAATTTTCCACATACTGTACATTATTGTTTCTCGTCTATGCCCCGCTTTTTGAAACGCGTCGATTTTTACAAAGCTCGTTGGTCTGAAAAGCGAGGTGTGATGTGATTGGCCAGCTATTCAGTGCGTTGTGATTGGCCGAATAACTCAAGCGTGTGACGGAAATGTTACGCCCCTCACCATACTGTTGATGCCGTGTCCCGGCCGGAGCGACGAGACAAAAACATTAAAACCCATTACAAACGAGGCATTTGTTGCATCCAGTGGGGACATAATTACGTTGCGTTGCATCGCACCGCGTAAACATAAAACCATGTCTGCATTTGTGATCGGAGGAATGACAAACAACAAGTGCTACTCTACACTGCTCAAAACTCGCGTTTGAAACATCAGTGGCAAATCCTTGAAATGAAAACGTACTTACAAACTGTGAGTCAGAACTGCTGGCATTGTAGTCTACTCTACCACTCGCGCTCTCGCTTTCCTTATGTGTGTATGTGCACACATCCTCGTACCTCAACGCTCCAAACCATAGCTCCAAACTTAATCCGGGAAAGGTGAACATTCCTGCATCATAACTTGGACTGAAAGATGAATGTGTAGAAAGCGAGCATGTCTCCAAAAACCTTGTTGAGCTGCAGGTTTATGCATGCATTTTTTATAAAAAAAATTTTTTTTTACAGAAATTATGTTTTGATTATATTTTTGATTATTGAGCTGCAGGTTTAGGCTGACTTAAGTGACTGCATTTTTTTTTTCATTTATAGGGATTTTTCTTTTACAGAAAATCATTTATTTATGTTCTGATTATTGTTGAGCTGCAGGTTTAGGCTCACTTAAGTGACTGCATTTAATTAAGAAGAATTTAATTAATTATTCTAATTATTTAGCCTGACATGTTTACTGTTCCAAAATGTTCTATATGTTTCTTAAAAAGAAAATGTGTTCAGTGGAAAAAAAAGTAGTTTTTTTTACCCATAAATTTAAAAATAACATTTTTGAGCTGTAATTGCAATACCGTGATATTTTTATCTAAGGTTATCATACCGTCAGAATCTCATACCGGCCCGTACATATGTTATAAGCAGATAAATGCACTATGAGCAGCGGAAGTGCAGCCTTTTTCATGGTATGCATATGCACAAGTACATAAAAACATTATAAAAGGCATGTTTACATTTGTCTTATTGTGAACAGGCCTTTAGGGGAAAAACATGATTCATTTTATGGGCCGCATTTTCAGTAGTGGCAATCCAGTGCAGGAAACGCCTGCACAAATAGAGATGTCTACTCACCACTCCTGTCTTCTGACACACACTGCACTTGAGGCTTAAAGCGCGGAGGCATTTCTGACTGCAGAACTCCTTCACAGTCCCTGACATGTCCACCTGGGAAATGATCACATCCTTTGGCTCAAGAATGTCTCTGCAGGGAAAGAGAACTTGTTAAAAGGCATTTGTATTCGTAAAGGGTATGTTAAACACTACTGTTGCATTTCAATTTCTATTATATATTATTCTTTGCAATTTTAAAATAAAGGAGCATGTTGTTATAATACATTAGGTTTTAGGGTGGTAAGTTAGAAAGTTCATATTTAAAAAATTACTTGAATGCAATAAAATGTAATGCACCTGATATGATCATTTTAAAAGTTACATTTTAGAAAAAAATGAAAGCAAGACTTGTAGGCATACTTGTGGCAGTGGTGACATTGTTTCTTCTGAGGTATTTTGACCACCACATTAGAGGTGCTACAGAGACACTGAGGTGAACAGTAGAGTTTAGGACAGCCTTTGCGCTGGAAAGCCGTCTGTCCCTTTAAAAGGACTTTGTTACATCCTGTGCAGACCACACCAATTGGATTGGCAGGGGCCAGAGAATGAAGGGATAGTGTAGGGAGTGCCGTCGCCTTTGCTGGAACGGCTGCTGGAGCTGCAGTCACATGAAGAAAAACATAGAAGAAATATAATATGTAACTTAAATTTCATTGAACCATTTATCATCATGTTCACCCATGTAGTAAATGGTAAAAGAAAAATATATTATATTTTCAGGGCTCGTACCGATGGATGTGGCATTTCCTCCTACAGAGAAAACTGCACTGATCTTGATCGCTTCAGGTGTCTGGCTAAACTCCTGAAAACATGGGAAAAAAAAAAAAAAAATTTTAAACAAAATTCCATGAAACATTTTATACCTTACTTAACAGTACTGCTTATTTAACCTGAAGCAATGTAAATGTAGCTCATGTTTTTTATTGCCTGTCACATGGTTTGGCTTGTTGCAATTATTTAACTCATCTAATTGATTATTTTGCATTTTAAATACCATTTTGCCATTCAAATAAGGGCATTTTGGGTTAATTTTCCAGTTCAGTAGTGGAAGAAAGAAAAAATATTTTTTATTTAGCAAGATTGCATTCCAAATACCAAAAGTGATGGTAAAGGCATAACACAGGGGTGTCCAAAGTCCGGCATTTCTTCAGCGCACGAGAATTCCTAAATGCTCCAAAAGCGGAACTGCGCTACTTGTATACAAAATGTCTCGATCACACAACCACTAAACAGCGCTGAGATTCCGTGAGAAGCGTCTGAGTTTGGAGCGGCGGTCTCTGATACAAACTACAGATGTCACTGTGATTTTGAAGTAGTTTAAAGCCAAATGAAACCGCGCTAACATTCTCAACAACACTGACGTGGAAAAACTGGAAATATTGTGATAATCCAGTTAGAATACTTTTAAAATCACCAACATTTACAATGGATTTACTGTTGTAACACTAACGGAGGTATTGTGGCAGAAATGTAGGATATTCATATAGAATTGTATTATATTAATGTAGACATGTTGGGCCTATTAAATATATTAAGGGAGTAATAAAATATAGGCCAAATTATAGATATTTTTGTTATAAGCAGTTTTGTAAATAAATGTGTTTATAGACTACATACCATGAAGACATCGTAGATATTACAACAATTAAAATTTTACCCTTTAAAATATTTACAGATTTTTACATCCTATATATAATAAAAAGTCACGTGAACCGCAAATCAACATATTAGAATTTTTAAAGGAACATGACACACTGACAGCTGGAGTAATAGCTGCTGAAAATTCAGCTTTGCATCACAGAAATAATTACATTTTAAAATGTATTAAAATATAAAAGAGTTTAAAGGGGTCCTATTATGCTTTTTCACTTTTTCAACTTTAGTTAGTCTGTAATGTTGCTGTTTGAGCATAAAAAAGATCTGCTAAGTTACAAAGCTCAAAGTCCACTTCAAAAGGAGATATTTTATTTAACAGAAATCACTTTTTAAAAACTACAACGAACGACTACAATGCAATCACAGCACACACTGGCCCAGCTAACCAATCACAGCACACACTGGGCCAGCTAACCAATCACAGCACACACTGGCCCAGCTAACCAATCACAGCACATTTCGTATTTCAGAAGGCGGGCCTTCATTTGATACAGGAACTATTCGAGCCGTTTATGCCAGACTGGGGAGAGAGGTGTTGTAATAATGTAAAATATGTGTAAAAAAAAAAATGTGTTTTTTGAACAACCTAGTATGAGAGCCTGTTCAAGTACACCCCCAAAACAAAATCAAGACTTTGTAAAAGAGCATAATAGCACCCCTTTAAAATTCAATATTTCACAATATTACTGTTTTTACTGTATTTTTTATTAAATAAATGCAGACCTGGAGAGCATAAGAGTCTTTTGTCAAAAAAGAAAAAAAAAAAAGTTTAAATAAAAATCATACCGGTATCTTAAAAATAAAAAATAAATAAAAGGCAGAAATCACTGGTGAAACTTACAGCTGCTGTGTTGGGCTCATCTTTAATGTTGCCCACTGGGCCACGTTGCTCCGACACTTTCTCATACTCCTCATCCATTGGCTCATCCTTCACCTTCACTGGTAGGGCATCAGAGAGCTGGGCCTCTTGAGGTTTCAGCTCAGTTTTTAACATTGATTGTGTTTGCTAGATTTAGATGGAGAGGATTTTAGTTTTAGGAGTTTACTTCCTGCATGGATTAACAAGCAAACTCAATGAACTTCGATGGTAAACAAAATAACGACTGTGCTCACCACGACAGATGATTCCGTTTTCTCCCTTTTTATGCATTTAGGAAAAGATTTTCCTGTTAAATGTAAAGATTATGTAGAATAAACAGTCAAGTCTGTTCCTCAATTCTATTTAGTTAAATGGCAATAAAAAAGAAATAATATTAATTATACAGCAACATTATGCAGTATCTAAAAACATGCATTTGATTTTCAATATATTATTAAAACATTTTTAAAACATATTTAGGGATTCAATTACATTTTGAAATTCATTGAATGCTTTTCAATGGCTGTAAAATAATGTTCAGAAATGAACATTTATCAAAACACAGAATCATCAATCAATATCAATAACTACCAAAATGTGTTTGCAGGTCATCTCAACAGGACATCTAGTAACAGGCAAAAAGGTCACACCAACCTGCATCATCTGATCCATCTACCTCCATCCTCCCATCGCGATCCTCAGTCTGGTCCACATCTATTGCCATTTCATTGGTAAAGTCCTCGACTTTAGCAATCACAAGCTCTTCTGAACACTGTGCTGCATCCTCTGCGATCTTGCTCTCTTCATTCTTCTCTACTTCTTCAGCATTCTGCTTAGATTGTCCCTGTGCACAATTTTCTTCTTCTTTGTACTGGTCAGTTATATCGTCCTTTTCTGGTCCACTTTCATGGTCCATACCCGGTTGTTGTCTGAAATCCAGATCTTCCTCCATCTCCCCTTGAAGCTTCTCTACTTCCTCCTGCTCCATCTGATGGCTTTCCATCAGGCTGTTTTGAAGGTTTGGTTCATTTACACCAGCATCAGTGGCGTCCAGCAGGCATGACTCCACTGTATCTGGCTTCGCTTCTGAACCAGCTGCATCTCCTGGAAGTTGTTCTGAGGAATCTTCACTGGCCATTGGGACACCTGCGGCAGACGCTGAGTCCAGTGGTGAAACTGCCTCTGTAGACTGTGAGGGGCCAGACTTCACTCCTGAAAGTGAGAAATTATGACATTTATCCATAGGGCAGAATTCAATAATAAGAATGGCCTGAGGCTCTCTATCAGGCCTGTACTGTATTTTCACAATATTATACAGCTAATCTTGCTTAAGTGCAAGTGCAATGCATTGCAAACTTTTGGATTAGTGCGTTATACATTTTTGAGAAATTCTGCAAGTTCAAACATGAAAACTAATATGATTTCCTCGAAGCACAGGTTAGAATGGGTAGAAAATTCAACTATGTAATGTTTTGCTTCATACGCCCTTGTTTTTCAACTAAAGTGTTTTTAGGTTAATTAATAGCATTCACAGATATGAGATATTGCTTTTTTTAATATTCACGTAAAATATTACAATTAACAATATATTATTTTTCATGAAAACATTTTTTTTTAGAAAAGTTATATAATTATTCAGTCGTTTTTAATGAACAAAAATTTAAGAACACAAAAATATTGCAATTAACTATAAATCGTATTTACGGCAGCAAAAAGTTAATATCTAATTTAAAAATCCTTATATATCTTCCACAATATTAGTGATTAAAATATCCCAATTGCTCCGATATTTGATCTTATATAATTCCGATCATTTAGAGTTGTTTTTAAAATACTTCAAAACTACACTACCATTTCAAACCATATCAGCCTCCACACTGGACTTTATCCTTCTGTCTGCTGCAGCAAACGCTTCTGTACTTCAGCAACTGCTGCACATGCATGCATTCACACGACTATACACATGCATCTTTGGCTAATATTGTCACAGGTTGATCATACATACCATACAATACTCCAAAACCTCAACGTTGCATTAATTCGGTTTTATATTGATAACATATGCGCCTTCTATTGTCGTTAGCTCGCTATTCGATAGAAATGAAAAAATAAAATACTCCAAAATGAGGCTTTAAAACATGAATGTTGAAGCCGGAGCACGCGTATAAAGGCGAAACACGCTGCAGGGCATGCATGCTTTTCAGCGAATCTCTGCAGAGATGATAAACAACACGCGGGCCAATCTTTCCAACAGTTTACGTACTTACCTTTGAACGCCTGGCGTATTCTTTCAACAATCCCTCTCAAAAGACAGTCGATCAACAACCCCTGCAAGATGCGCGGTTGATCACTTCTGGATTAAAACACCAAAATACTGCAAAAGTTGCTGAAACAAACTAGCTGATGGCCTCGCTGGCTCTCCCGCGAAAGCTCTTCCCCCTATGCGTGCAGCAGTGCATTGTGGGTAGGGGTGGGCGGATCGATCCTCAAGTATCGATACCGATGTTGTATCGAAAGGATCGATCCTCACATAAAAATATCGATTCTAAAGTGCATTTTTTAACCATTAATTTGATTTACTTATCAAAAAAATTCGGTGCATAAAATAAGCTTCTAAGTGAAAAAATAGACTATATTAGCGAATAATTGTGTTGGATAGAACCATTTCTCCTGCTCATCGGAACACACGCAAATGCTGAAAGACAGAAGCAAGCGTTCGCTGCTGACGCATGGCTCACAGTGCTTGATCAAATACGGCTGCGTTTCCCAAAAGCATCAGAAGCGTATTAAGAAACCATTGCCACATTATTACATTACATTACATTGTTACTATATATAAAATAAAATTCATTACTATATATATGAAAAATGCATCACGGTTTCCACAGAAATATGAAGCAGCAATAATAATAAATGTTTCTTGAGCAGTAAATATTGATTTCTGAAGGATCATGTGACACTGAAGACTGGAGTAATGATGCTGAAAATTCAGCTTTGATCACAGATACATTTTAAAATTTATTAAAATAGAAAATGGTTATTTTAATTGTTATATTTCTCAATATAGCTGCTTTTACGTTTTTTTTTCATATAAGTGCAGCCTTGGTGAGCATGAGACTTAAAAAAAATTACAAAATCTTACCGACCCCCAACTTTTGTGTACATGTAATATTTATTTTAAATTGGCTAGTTTGTGCAAGTACATTTATTTAAACTGGTTGTTAAAAGTTCAAATGGATTGTGTTATGCTCTGTAATTGCTGTTAATAAATCTGTCAGAAAAATAAATGCTACAGTTTCACCTCTAGGGGTATAACAGCCTGGCAGCCTTTTACAAAAATTAACCATGGTTTTATTACAGTAACCACATTATTTGTAGTCAAACTGCAGTAACCACAAATTTACCATGGTAATAATAATAAATTTGAGTACTTATGTAACACCATGTTTATTTTTCATGAGGTACCCTCAAAGGTGCACCTTTGTGACTTATCTACCCTTAAAAGCATGCATACTTGTATGGTACTAATATGCTCTCTTTTAGGGGTATAGTTGCACTTTTGAGGTTACTGCCCCAGTAAACGGCTAAAATATACAATTATAGAATATTTTATTTCTGACAGTTTAAGCAAAAAAGGCCTATGAAATGGTAAAAAAAACACGGCTTTAAAATCTAATATTAAGTGAGTATAATTACTGATTATATATTCTTTTAATAATTTAACAGATCAGTTTAGTTTAGAAGTATCAGTATCGATATTGACGATACTGGGCTTGAAAATATCGGTATCGGATCGAAAATAAAATATCGCCCATCCCTAATTATGGGTGAGGCGCAAAACACGGCTTATACGCTATCGATTCATTTCCGCGAATCGGTTCTTTCGAGCGGTTCGTTTCAATGATTCGGTTACAATTAAAGATTCAGCCGTTCTTTTTGCTGTGTTCTAAATGCCATACTATAATACTACTCTTACTATTTCTACAGTATCCAATATGTATACTGTGCATAGTATGCAAACTTTCTGTATCTATATTTGCCAGAATCTGCTAAAATATAAGTACACTGAAATCAGTACAGAACTATGAATAGTATGTGTAATTTTCTGTATGCATGGAATTCCCAGATTAGCTACCTACTACATTTTCTGAAATCTGATGTATGCATCTGAAGACACTAGGTGCGTTCGGCTTGAAGCAGCGCTGCGCAGACCGATCGGTGTATGACATCAAAGTCGCGGTATTTTTATGTCACGCACCGATCGGTCTGCGCAGCGCCGATGCATTTCGAACAAGCCTTAGCTTCCCACAACGCAACGCGCTCTCTATGTGACGTTTAATCTTCAAACGCGTGAGTGAACTGGAGGCGGGGAATAGCAATTATAAATGTAACACTTTTATATATGTACATATATACATGTTACTGTAAACTAACATAAACTGCACCTCAATCTCTACGGCATGTTTCCGATCAAGTCAAATGACGTCACCTTTATCTCTATAGCACTTTGTACAGTGCAGGTTGTTTCAAAAATATTTTACAATAATATTGCAGTAATATATACATTTTAAAATGGGTGAATTCAGGTAAATCGGGCCACTTATAAAATGTATAATTTAGATACTTAGTACCCTGTTTTTTTTCTTTACTTTACATTTTATACACTTAAAAGCGTATAAAAAAAGTGACAAAAAAGTGATGTGCTTCCTCAGTATTTTTGTCATGTTTTCCAGTACAACTGTCTAAAGATTCTTAAAGGCACAATATGAAAGATTTTTAGACTAAAATATCCAAAGCCCACTAGAACAGTGTTATATATTTTGTTGACTTGTGGACTTGTTGATAACTTACATTATCGCAAATGTTTCCAAGAATGTTTAAATCCCGAGAAATAAGAATTTTAACTAGCGTAACGGACCGTGTCATTGCGTCACCTGCCAATGACGTCATACACCCTTGATTTCCGGTTTTGTTTTGTAGAAACCATGGAAACACCAAAGACGCTTTAAAGGGGTCCTATTATGCTTTTTCCACTTTTTCAGCTTTAGTTAGTCTGTAATGTTGCTGTTTGAACATAAAAAAGATCTGCTAAGTTACAAAGCTCAAAGTCCACTTCAAAAGGAGATATTTTATTTAACAGAAAGCACTTTTCAAAAACTACAACGAACGACGCGTTTGGACTACAACGATATATATATATATATATATATCAGTGGGGCCGGTTGCATAAAAGGTTTAGACTAGTCTTAAAAGTTAATCAGCTAATTTTTTCTTTAAGGCAGGTCATATTTTTTTTAATTTACTTAAATAAAAATGTATATTAGTCTAAGTTGAATCCAAAAAATAAGACTGATTACCCTTTGGTTAACTGCTAGTTGGTCAGACTAGTACTTAAGACACTGTCTTAACATAGAGGCTAAGTTTATGCAACTGGGCCCTGATTTAAGACTTTGTGGAAGGGCAAATTAAAACTTTTAAAGACCTTTTCATAATCCACAGAAACCCTGTTTGTGTACAGCATCATGGGTAATGTTGATTTCCACCTGAATTCTGCTGTTAAACAATTATTTTAATAATACATATAATTTGAAATATGAACATATGGCTTCAACAAAAGCACATGCCATCGATTAACAACATAGGAGCTCACAACAGTACTTGAAAAGTTTATAAGTTATCGTTTAAAATTAAGTCCCCTATGTAGAAAATGAATGGGGTTTTTAACTTTCGAAACCCGACTGTTGCACTATATTGTGCTGCGTGCTGGATACATGCTTCGAAGCTTCAATGTCATACGTAGCATCACCAACAGATTCAAATACAAGACACAGATAAACATTGTAAAAAGAAACCTTTGCTTCTGAAATGACTTTGTAGAGTTTCAAAGGATAGATCCGTGTCCACGGTTTTGTGGTTTTCCAGGTCTGTTGGTATCCCTACGTGACTCTGAACAGCATGTGATGTTCTCTAAAAAGATTTACAACATGCAAGCAAAGTAAGAATTCCTCCAAAAACACACTGCACAAAATTTATAAAATCATTTAAGGTTAATCAACTGGAAAAGCAACATAAACGTAACCAAATGTCTATATATAGATTACTGTAAACAAATTTCTTAAAAGGAACCCTGGGTATCAACTCAAGACTTGTATGGCTTAATATAACATAAATAACGTCTCTTACTGAAATATGTAGTAGAAAACCTATGAAATATTTACGTTATTTTAAAAAATGAACATCGATTCATGCATATTTTGGACTATGGGGGGGAAGAGAGTTATTTTAGGAGTCTAAACGCCCCCGGATATCGACTGAAATGTAGCTCTGTCTTGTGGCTAACTTTCCTCACTAAATTCATCATCTGGAAGGAACCGATCATGGGACTGACCATCCTAGTCTACTAGATCAGGGGTTTTCAAACTCGTCTTGGAGGACCCCCTGCCCTGCACATTTTGCATGTTTCCCTTATCAGACACACCCAATTTAGTTCTTGCAGTCTGTACTAACGAGCTGATGACTGTAATCAGGTTTTTGTTAGATGAGGGAGACATACAAAATGTGCAGGGCAGGAGGTCCTCCAAGACAGTTTTGAAAACCCCTGTACTAGATCACTTTCCTCAACCGCTTCAGCAGGCACAGCTGCAGTAATATACTGCACAGGCCAGCCTCCACTTTGAAAAACACGGTCATTCTCGCCCACATGTTGTTTTGTGGTGCACACATAAATAGGCATTACGGTAAAAGCAAGTAAAAACGGTTCAAATGAAAAGCGATCATTGGCATTAATTTATTGAGCCAGTTTCTCTGTCAATAATGAATAAATAAATAAATAAGCAAAAAAAAACAAATAAATATAAAATAATATATGCCCCTTTTTACAAGATGTAAAATAAGTCTCTGTGGTCCCCAGAGTGTGTATGTGAAATTTTAGCTCAAAATACCCCACAGATCATTTTTTATAGCTTGTTAAAATAGCCACATTTAGGGTGTGAGCCAAAACGTGCCATTTTTGTGTTTGTCCCTTTAAATGCAAATGAGCTGGTGCTCCCGCCTCCCTTTTCAGAAGAGGGTGGAGCTTCAGTGGTGCGGCCGCCATTTGTAGGACCGAACTGCAATTCCGTCAATCTGCTGTCCTGTGATAACAGCAAATCACAATGGATTATTTACCAAGAGATGTGGATGTATGGGATTCTTTTGATTAAATATTTCTCGTAAAGCATAAACACATTTTTACATTTTAGTATTTTAGTTAGCAAGTTCATAATGAAACTTGCAAAAGGTTAAATTCGCGTGCGAGACTGCTGATTAGCCGTAAAACTTTAGTTATGCAAACCGATTATGATATAAATCAACGAGATGTTTTTGATTTTTGATCTAAGTACAGTTATGCGAGTCTAGAATGTTTACGCTGCACTAAACTTTGACGAACAACACTCCGATCCGCAAACACACAGATGAAGAAGAGGAGGATGATGACGGTTCAGCGCATACAAGGAGAAAGGTTTGTAGTTTTAGTTTCCACAT